ATCCAAATGTTATACATCGAAGCGTAGATGTCCCAAGGGTTATATGGAAGCACTGGCAGGTAAAAAAAATAATAGTTGATGTTGTTCATCGGGGCATGACATCAGTGGAAGAGATAGAAAGCTACATAGAAATTTATATTCAAGATTACCTAATGAAAAATAAAAATGCTCAATGTACAAGCCCAAATCATATGACATCAAGGGACTTGCAAAATCGTGTCTGGCAGGCACTTCGTGCATGCAGGTTTGATTCACTGGTCAGGACATAGTAGCAGAATACGTGGAAGAACTTCGTGAGAAGACGCCAATCCTCAACTGCTTCTTTCGTGCTTGTGAGGTAAAGATCAAGTGAACAACCAGTCGCTGCAAGGTCAAAGGGTACATACTCTAGAGTCCCTGTCACAGGAGTGCCAGGAAACGCTACTGTTTTGCCTCCAGACTGATTTCATGAAAGAACCGTTGCTAAAATACAGCAGTGATGTCTTGTCCCTTGTTGCAACCTATAAGACAACCGAATGTGCACTTCCGCTGTTCTTCATCATGATGAAGGCCCCCTACTGAAACGCAGTCGTAGGCGCTTTTGTTGTCTAGTTTAAACGGCCGAGTGCATTGGCGAAACATTAGGCATTTGGAGAGCTTGGAATCCCGATGAGAACCCCAGGTTTTGTATAGTAGACTGCAACGAGGCGGAGAATGCCGCTATTTCCATGCCTTCCCCTGCTAGTGTACTATCTTCACTGATTATCAGAAAAAACAGGCTTGGCAGGACTGGCTCTCAAGAAAAGAGGACGGTGTTGCGGACGTCTTTCATGTGAAAGATCTGCTCAACCGGATAGCAGACAGCCAGAATGAGGAAAAGTTCAAGCGGGTGGTCACACGTTTGGATCGGTCACATTATTATCTGCAAAATGAGAAGTTGCGGAGGTACATCACGCACTGGCTCTCAATTAGAGAAAAGTGGGTTAAAATGTACCGTGACCTTTCTGTTGACAGCTATGACAGATCAGGTCTAAGGCTTTACTTGACAAAGAACTGTGGCCAGATTAGCCTTTTAGAGCTTGTCAGAACTTTGGCTAAAAATGTTCCACGGATATCAGAGCCCCAGTATTTTGGGCCAGTACTAGTTCAATTGATTGAGTGTTGAGCGCAATAGAGGCAGCTGAGATCTTCAGGGATAAACATTGAGAGGGTCAATGTGCTCAGGACACTGTAGAATATCATTGGCAAAAAATGCAGCAAAGGATGTTGTTGCAGACATACAACAGCCTTTCGAGTACTGATGTTTTAAGTCGGCACTTGGGAAAAATGTACTTCTGAATTTCACGACATGCGTGACAGTGCTATATTGCAATTCCTGCTCACAGTCTTGATGGAGGCCAAGACGGTCATTCTCAAGAACTTGGCCAATAGTTCAACTTGGCCAACCTTCATAGGCAATTCAGCCTTTTCAATGAAGTAAACTATAAAATAAAGAGTTTCGAATAACACAGCAAGTCTTAGTCATGTTTTTCAAAAAGAAAGGTCCAAATAACGGCCCATTATTTGGACGTTTGACTGAGTGAGCTCCTTTTAAAAGATGTCCAGAAATAACTTGAGGTAATCATTCGTGTTCAGCACTTATTAAACGGACATTTAAAGAGAAGTTTTGCATGAAAAGGCAATATAAATGTTAATCTGTCACACTGCTTCACAACGGATTCATTCCTTATGTGGAAGAGCTGGCATCAGATATTAGTGCTCTCCAGAAAGTCCACATATGTTGAGTGCAGGTGGAGGAGGAAAAGAAAAACTAAAGGACAGGGAGTTTTAGAGCATAGGGCTGAAGAGTGCTTATGCTCCTCATTGAAACAAGAGATCTTAGATCTTAGAGGTATTTCTGGAGGCAGAGACATTGGAAAGTACACACATTTTAGGGCTCTTAGCTTTCTATTCTGGTCAGCTATAAAATATATGCATGATGGTATAGTCCACTTGAGAGGAGTTACACGACCCTGTCGCCAGAGCTTATCAAAGAACACTGGATTACTAAAAACACATTAATGCACATGTTGCTTGTTACTTTGGCGAAACAAACAGTGAAAGATTAGATGAAGTTGTTTTTTGCTCAAATTGTTACCATCAAGCTCATTCATACCCATTGATTCATGGAGAGCTTGCTCTGCATTGTTGACAAAATCTTACAGTGGCGTTCACCACACCATTCCTTCGTTGAGAATGAGTGCGTAATAATTGTCCATGAATGTATATCACAACTAAATGGCCATAACCACAATTGCATATATGATATAATTGTAATCAGAATTACGTAACGCATGATGATCAGGCCTCTCACAAACACTGATATTTTCAAAGGTTTGAGAATGATAGAAAAGCCTCCCCATGTAGAGCAAGTAAGGTTTTTTCGAATTGGGACGCCAGAATTTCCAAGTATTTACGTGTACTTTTGGTCTTATTGTGCAGTACTTGTGTGGGCCCTTACACTAATGAGCACTAGTCTTACAGTTAAGACGTGCAGCCTGCAGGGGTGGCAACAAGGTGAAATATTCTGACAGCTGCATTCACGTGCATTCAGGAGCAAGTGGAGCCAATTCGGGAGCAAGGTAGTGCCAATATTTGAAAACAGTTGGTAGAAGGTCTGTCCATGTAGGTATCCCACCTTCTAAGAAAAATGGCTGCAGATCTGGCGATGCCTGATGTGGCCTGTTGGCTTAATATACCAGGCGCTGTCCTATAACGGTACAGTGTCCACAGATGTCTCAGTGAGTCTAGGTGACAGGCCGCATTGCGTATGACAGGCCTTTCATTGGGTATTCTGGCTGAATTCGACAGAAGGTGCCAAGCAGAGAACCATGCGAGAGATAACCCAGTATGTGATTTCGGGACGTTTATCCCCGACAATAATTATTATATTAACGTGAAGACCTCATGAAGATGTTTGGTATTGGTGCATCATGGCCTTCCACAGTCGGCTGTTAACATAGCTATTCCTCCATAGCAAAAGACAAGGAGTTCAACATTGGACTGTATCTGAGAGAAACTAAATGCTGTGGCATCACATGCTAGGGTGAAATAGCACATATGAAAAGCTGTTGCACAAGGGCAACAATTCCTGTAATTAGTACTTAGTATACTGAAATGCCCCATGACGAAAAGAAGATACTATGCTAAAGTCCTCTGAATGTTATCACCACCAAACGAAATACCCGTTTTCAGTGCTTCATTGAGCCAATTTTTCTCTAATAGCAACTCTCTCCACATGCTATTTTCCCACAAGACGTGGCGAGAAACCTCCTATGTAAATATTATAAATTCTTGCTCGTAAAATTTGTGGAGCTACATCAAGTTGGTCAGCAATAGCCCAATAGGTGAATCAGAGGCGTTTTAACAGCCGAGTTATTTAAGCTTTTTGTTGAGCCTATGGCAGTGCGAACAGAAGGTGTCATCATCATGATAAATTGACACTCGCTCTTTCTGTCGTCTTTTCTTTTTGTTTTCCTTTTGTTTCGCTACCTGTGCTCGACCACAAGTACTTGCATAAGAAGCTTCGATAAAGTTCTGTAGCTCTTGTAAAATAATTTAGATCGCTAGAAAGGAGTGGTCGCGGGACTGCAGGCTTGACAAACACAACATTACCTGTTTGTAAATACAAAATGGGCCTTCACTTTTCATCATTGCTGGCGTTACACTGGCGTATAATCGCTATCGCGACCACGTCCACTGTTTGCAGCATGTCTCCTTAAGACTGCATAATCACCGCAAATGTAAAAATTCTGATTATAAATGTTCTACAGTGTTTTCTGCGTTACCATTCCGTGTTACAAGCTTTGACAGGTAAGCTTTCAGTTGCACTCAAGGAAACGGGTACTATAATTATCGGTTCTGGGTCCCTTTAATCAGTAAACTGCCAGAGGGGCCCAAAGACTTACTACACTAACCTTCAGGGACATTTCAATGAGCCAGTGTCGCCAAAACACGAAGCATAGTGTGAAATCTATGACGCCATGCGTGAAGATTTTGGGGCGCGATATTTAAAAATGACACTTTGACCTTGATGGTCTCTTCTGTTAATAAACGTATGAATGTAAAATTAACAGCACCATAATTGCCAGAGTTTCTTTAGTACAATATATATCATTGCTGTTCCTATTTACCTCGCAGTAGACAATTGCCCGAGCAGACAAAAGTTAATTCAAAAGGGGTAGTATTCGATAGCCGCCTGAACAGGCTAAGTCAAATTAACTTTGTATGTGCCATAGATGTCAATTCAGTATTCTACGAATGGCTAGAAATGAATTTTTAAAAATAATAACATTAAAATAATTTTCTATTTTGCTTATGTTGAGTATATCACCTTTCATGTTGCATGAATTCACCGGAATATACTTTTAGAACATGTCTTGAACCCATACGAAAAAAAAAAGCAGCTTTGCAGCAGTGGTGCCAAGCATGAAGGAATCGCGCAGGTGCCTTCTTCGTTTCCCTCGAATTTTCCTTTTTTTTCTTCCTTCTTACTTTTTCTACCATATTTTAATGTTTTTTGTTTATGCCTGCTTCTCTTTTTACTTCTCTACGTATTTCTTCCTACTTCTTTTTCTTATCTTTTCTTTCTACCAAACGCTGCAGGCAGCGGAAAGATCTGAAAAGGTGGCTGTCAAACACCGCCGGACCATCATCTCTCCCTGAAAGGCCAATTTCAACCAAATAAAGTTGTATATTTCTCTCCTCCTCTCTGAATCCAGCTTCTCGGGTGGTTTATGACACTGCAGTACGAGCTTGGCGAAGAGAACGAAGCTGTTAAGGCAGCGCCCGTTCCACAAAGAAACCTAATTCATCACTGTATAAATTTCCCTTTGTCTGCAAGTTTTTCCCAACACGTTTCTCTCTCTCTTTTTTTTCACAAATTGTGTGGCCACAAATTCACGGCCGATTCCCAGTAGTGGGTTGAGCCATTCCGCTTGGACCCAACCAAACCCGCGGAGCTGCGCCGAGACTACGGCGGCATGGCCGCGAGGTCTCAAACCCCGCCCGCCGTCAGAGCCACCACCTCAAAGCAGTTCCTCGCGCTCGCCGGATATATCTTGGGACGCGAAATCGGCCAGGGCACCTACTCAAAAGTCAGGTGAGTCATGTGCAGACGGCTGAGAGCACTAGAAGTGATGACAGGGTGTGTGAAACACAGATGACGATGGTTATTTGAGTGCATACGCTCGATATTGGGAGCTGTGTTTCTTGTTCTGTCGACCGATCGGCCGTCATTCGGCGCACGTTTGTCACTACATTGGCACGCGCCGTTAGATACAAGATGTGATATAGGAAGTGCACGTATTTGCTCGCAAGTAGTGAATGCTACTGAACGTGGACTGTTTAGATTTCATATACTACGTACACGTCATTTGAAAGCTTCATATTTCCGGCATAGCGTGGTCGTTGTTGTTCGTAGACACATGATTCTGTAAGAAATACCCTCAAGTTACAGCCGCTTTATGCTCACGCAGAACAGTCTCCGTGATCAATGTTATTTTATGATCTTAAATAATCTGCAACGTGGGCACGTTACCTTATGCCGCTCATATTTCGACTGCCGTTTCATTGCACACATAATACACACTGCTAAGAGTGAAATTAATGGTTTGTCGTTTGTCGCAGTCATGTGTGAAGCCTTTCCTCTGGTGTAGCTATTGTACACATTGACTATTCTAAAGAAATGCAATACGAGCTGCCAATTGACAGCTTCTTGGCTATCGGGTAGTGTTTATGCGGCACAGAAAAACGCACTTCGTTTGATATAAAAAATTCTGTTAATTTGATACTGATGTTCTCGTTTTGTATATAGTGTCTAGGCTTCGATAATGTACCCGTATTGTTTGTTTTCTGCTGATGGGCTGTCGTCAAGTAACCTTGCCAATATTGTACAATGTATCACAGCAGGTGCGATGCAAAGAGAAATTCAGCCTAGAAAAGTAAGATATGTGATGGCTGCGCTGATACAAAGAAGTAACGAGGCATTGGTCGTGGTCAGACTGCTGTCTTTTTAGAAGATGAGAAAGAGCATGCTGATCGATATGATCATGTCACGCCATCAAATGCAGCAGACTGTAAACGTCTCGGTAGAAAAGAAAGCAGAGCAACTATCATCATAACCACACTATTCGTGGCGACACATTAGTTTGGCTACCTTACCTCGGTCGTTTCCTTAAAACGGTTCCACGCTCTGGTGTATAGCTAGAGTGATGGCGCTCAGAGCGACATTTTATATTGCGAGAACAATTATTTGGACACAGAGTCAGATTTTCGTCCTTGGTGCCGCCGTGATGCTCTGTATTAAGTTCAAATTGATGAAATCGTACCGTGCGACGTAGGTAACATGTGCGACCGAAAGCATGCGAATTCGGCAGGGCACGTCTCAAGCGTGCTCTGCTGCGGGTGAAGTGCGCCGGCTGGCTCCATCGGCGAAAGAGCATGAAGGGTTGAGGGGGTGAGGTAGGGTGCGTCGCTCGTGAGGTCCCCTTAGTCGCACGGGTAGCAACAGCGAGCTTCAATGAAATGGGCGTGGATGCGCGTGCTATCTCGACGAACTTCTATACACTGCTCCTACCCTTGTACGTGCTGTGTTCTTACAGCTCCATTTGCGTCGAGGCGACAGACAGAGCGAGAACCATTTCGCTCCTTGGAGCGGCCGTGTTCTTTTCCGCCAATGTTTTGTGCAGTTGCGAAAAATCAGATTCTAATGACGTTAGCTGGAAGTTTTACTTAGTATAACACTCCGATTTCGCTTTGTAGCAGTGGAGGAGGCACAACTCGCTTCATTCATGTTTATATCTTTTTTTTTCGGGCAGGATTGGAGTTAAGGGCGACCAGCGCTATGCGGTCAAAATCATTCCCCGGCATTTAGCACCTCGGGAATACGTGCACCACTTCCTCCCTCGAGAGCTGGCCATCATTCCCAAGCTGAAGCACCCAAACATCGTGCGCGTCTTCGATGTGCTCGAGATCAAGCGCAAGGTCTTCATCGTCATGGAGCTGGCCACACAGGGCGACCTGCTGCTCAAGATCACCAACGACGGCCGCTTCTCCGAGAGCAAGGCGTTCCACTACTTCGAACAGATCTGCGACGCGGTCGCCTACCTGCACAAGCAGGACATCGTGCACCGGGACCTCAAGTGCGAGAACATCCTGCTCAGCCCTAAGCGACAGGTCAAGCTGGCAGACTTCTCGTTCGCACGATACACCCGTGAGCATGTGTGCTTCCAGATTAATATCTGTAGCGCATGTTCTCTGCAATGTGTTGTATGTGCTTGGCGTACTCGGCTTATGCACGATGGATAGAAAGCGTCGCACATTGGAATGAGAATCAAGCTACTCCTTCGATGCAACCTTACTTGCTTTGTTTAGCTTGCTAAATCTTATATGAATATAACAGTTAGTGAGAAATTTGCAAGCAAGGACGTAAGCTATAGGTCAAGACTCCACGAGCACCGACGTTTGTAGTGCCTTGACTGCTCTCTTTCGTCCCTGTTTGCACGCATTGTTTCTTTTACATCAATACCTACCAACTACCAACTCTGTGTGATCGTAATGAAGGAATTCAGCATAGCCATCAAACAATCTTACCACGGAGTATTGTGATTTGGTGCTTGGGACACTTGGACGTACCGTAAATCTAAGTTCGCCATTGCTAGCTCGTGTCTTCTAATTAACCTCTTGCATTGTGTTGCTTTGACGGGACCACGAATTTGACCAGGTCCATTTCATTCGACAGCACATGCCATCTGCACATGTTGGGATCTGTGCGAATGGGCACGCAGTATTTGAATCAAACAGCATTAACACTTAGTTGAAATAAGTGATGTAGTGCCATCTGAATACAGGAGAGAGCAGGTGCTTCCCGGAAACGCTAATCCTGCGTAAAAATATTTGTGACAAATACGTGGTCACAAAAGCAGCTTAGAATAAGAAAATGAATGAATAAGTAAATATAAATTTTAATTAAAACTAACAGACAATGAGGCCAAGTAAAGTATAGGGAATGTTGTTGGAAGTAACCGTAATGTACACGTGAAAAAGGATTTCGAATAGGCTACTCAACAATCGACCACATTCATACTATCAATCAGGTAAGAGAGAAATGCTTAGAATATAACCAACCACTATACATAGCCTTGATAGATTACGAGAAGGCGTTTGATTCAGTAGAAATATCAGCCGTCATGCAGACACTGCGGAATGAATGTCGATGAAGTATATATAAACATCCTGGAAGAAATCTACAGGGGATCAACTGCTACCATAGTGCTTCATAAAGAAAGCAACAGAATACCAATCAAGAAGGGTGTAAGGCAGGGGGACACAATCTCCCCAATGCTATTTACAGCGTGCTTACAGGAGGTTTTCAGAAGCCTAAATGGGAACAGTTAGAAATAAGAGTTAATGAAGAGTACCTTAGTAACCTGCGCTTCGCCGATGACATTGCATTGCTGAGTAACTCAGGGGACGAATTGCAACTCATGATTACGGAGTTAGACAAGGAGAGCAGAAAGGTGGGTGTTAAAATTAATCTGCAGAAAACGAAAGTAATGTACAACAACCTCGGAAAAGAGCAGCGCTTCGAGATAGGTAATAACGCACTTCAAGTTGTAAAAGACTATGTCTACTTAGGGCAGGTAATAACCGTGGAGCCGAATCACGAGATTGAAGTAACTAGAACAATAAGAATGGGGTGGAGCACATTTGGGAAGCACTCTCAAATTATGACAGGTAGATTGCCACTACTCCTCAAGAGGAAGGTATATAACAGCTGTATTTTGCCTGTACTTAGCTATGGAGCAGAAACCTGGACATTTACAAAGAGGGTTCAGCTTAAATTGTGGACGACGCAGCGAGCAATGGAAAGAAAAATGGTACGTGTAACCTTAACAGACAAGAAGAGAGCAGGGTGGATTAGGGAACAAACGGGGGTTAAGGATATCATAGCTGATATCAAGAAGAAGAAGAAATGAACGTGGGTCGGGCATGTAGCGCGTAGACAGGATAACCGCTGGTCGTTAAGGGTAACTAACTGGATTCCCAAAGAAGGCAAGCGGGTTAGGGGGAGACAGAAGGTTAGGTGGGCAGATGAGATTAAGAAGTTTGCGGGTATAAATTGGCAGCAGCAAGCACAGGACCGGGTTAACTGGCGGAACACGGGAAAGGCCTTTGTCCTGCAGTGGACGTAGTCAGGCTGATGATGATGATGATGATGACACGTGAAAAAAGAAAAGTGCATGAAAAGATAACTTGCCACCGACACGGATCAAACCTGCGACGTTCAAATAACGCATCCAATGCTAAACATACATGTAATATACGCAGGACTCCAAAACTATTTTGGTAAGTATACCGAAATATGTTTAACAATTTTCTGCAAAATCTGAGCTCATGCACTGCGGGAAAGATACGGCGTAAGATACTAACGTGATTATGCCTCCATCGGAGGCTGCTTTTGTTGGGTGCTTGTCATTTTAGTACTTAGTTCATTATACAAACCTTGTTCCCGCCCTTACGTATCCGAAATTAAACACAATTCAGTCACACTGTACTGTTTACGATTTTCTGAAGTACCGCTCACTTTGTACAGTAGGCGCCTGAATCACATTTTTTGATGGATGGCCTTAACAACTAATGACAAACATCGCCGCACTAATGTCACGATAATGCTTGAGCTGTGGAAGTTGGCAACTCACTACATTTTAAATGAAGTGTATATAAAGGCAGACACAAGACGCCCCTTTATGTCTCTATAAATTTTGGTGGTTTGGTTTGTACGATGATGTCAAAGTATAGAGGAGTTGAAGTTGTGTTCGCTTGGCTATTGCAGCTCTTTCGTAGGACATAGAGCGCGAAGTGTACTGACGAAGTACGGGCAGAAGAACACTGAATGGTTCACTTTGGGAATAGCGTAATTCTTGTACTTTGTTCTCAGACTTAACGGTTCTCGACTCCGTGCGCAATCATTCTTAGTTTTGTCAGGTTAACTCGTAGAGACTGCGTAATTACATATCCTCTGAGTGATCTCAGAGAGATACTATAATGCGAACCTCCACAACTTGTCAGACATTGACGACGGCTACCTTATCGTATACTGTCTGTATATTCTAGGATCTACCGAGTACATGACGCGCCTGATGCCATGATTATGCATCTATACGTATGTGCTGGGCTGTTCTTGTTTCTGTTTTCCTTTGTTGCAAACACCACTACGACCACCACCATCGTCCGCGGCATAGACAATTCGAACAAGCGCAAGATTCTGAGCCGGACGTTCTGCGGCAGCGCGGCGTACGCAGCGCCCGAGGTGATCCAGAACATACCGTACCGGCCCAAGCGCTACGACTCGTGGAGCCTCGGGGTCATCCTGTACATCATGGTGTGCGGTCAGCTGCCCTTCGACGACACCAACCCGTTCCAGCAGGTGCGCGCGCAGATGAGCCGCCAGATCAGCTTTCCGGCCTCCTACGGCCTCACCAAGATGGTCCGCAACCTCATTAGGCACCTGCTCGAGCCGTACGTGCTGTACCGCTGCTCGGTGCCCCGCGCCATGAGGCACCCCTGGATGCGCAAGGAGAGGATCAAACGAAAGCTAAAGTAAGTTTGTCTATATGCTGTCTTGCTTGTTCGTTAAACACCAGAGAAATGTCCCGCATGCCCCGTGTTTCCGTATTCCTAATTCGATGCATGACCTCATTTGTTTTTTTTTCTTTTGAAAACGTTCAAGCTTTCATTAAGCCAATGTAACCGTATGAGATGATCGCACGTGGCATATGGATCGAACATGGGTGAAACTCATATTCTCGTCATAAGTTCTCATAATACATTGATTTGGTCGAGTTGGTACACATTCGGATGAATGAACTATGATTTAAACAAAGGCAGGACACACAGATACACACGTACGTGCACCGACGTCACAAATTTATTTCACGTTTTTCTTTTTCCTCTTACTGCTTGATGTATCTATATACATTTCCTGCACACATACGCTGGAGAGCATTCATTCTGAGAGACAGTTAAGACTGTGCTTTTGTACATCGTACTTATCTTCAGTTGGCACTAGCACACATAGTTCTTTTTCAGTCACTACAAAAAAGGCGTGAAGTCTTGCTTTGGTTGGTAAAGTGCGGGCAATAATGACGCAGTGACGAGATAAGGGAAGAAATATATCTGGTGTTCCGCAAAAGCTCGCCATGTTGTCATAACATGTTCCTGCATCAACTTTTTTGTAATCTGTCGTTTTTATAAAGGACATGACGAACCTTGTCAAATATGCACTTAAAACGTATTAAAGATTTTCATTTGCCTCCACGCTATTACATACGAACTCCATACGAATTTCTGGTCTTCATGCGATAGACATAATCGGTGAAATTCAATGGCCAGGCGCATTTCTACTTCTCGTGCATTGTTCGTGCTGCCGAGCCCACGGCGGTCGTTTGTGATAATATATGAGTATACATGCATGCTGATGAGAGCGCTCTTGTTAGCCGGTGATGTCTAAACTAATCGCAGCCCCACTGCTAAGGTGTCGGGCAACTTACTTGAAATGTTTGGAGTCTTACAAAATGATCAAACAGTTACCTTCCATTAAGGAAACGCTGCCCGAAAAAAACAAAACAAGAAAGTTAGTGATATGAATAGCAGACTCGACAAGATTGAATATGAACTTAATGCAATTCGAAGTATCAATCTGAAGCTTGAAAACATAGAAACAGTCACGAACAACTGCAGTGTTCAGGTGTCTCAACGAACTGCTAGCGTTGAAGATATGGAATGCAGATCTCGCTGATGCAACTTAGTAATGTATGGCCTCACCGACCAACAAACCGAGATATGGCGCAATGTCGAGGAAACAGACACCCAGCCTTGCGATAAAAGAAATCTTGATGTGAATATTCAAACACGCAACATCAGAAAAGCTCTCAGGCTTGGCGCTTTTAAACACCGAAAGAATCAACCTATCCTTGTCAAGTTCACCCATTGGAAGGACGAAGACCACATCCTTTTTAAAGGCAGCAGGCTGAATGGCACAGACTATTTTATAAGTGAAGATTCTCCTCCACACACACGCATGGCCCGTAGACGCTTGGTTGAATTCGGCAAGGGTCAAAGTATGCCCTTCAAACTTCGCTGCAATAAAGTTGTTCGTGGTAACAAAACTTTCTTATTTGATTCCTACCGAGACGAACCTTGAGCACAAACGTTACCAATGAGCAATGAAATTCGTCAATATAGTTAAACGTCCCAAACGTGATGCATCAATTATTTACAGTAATATTCATAGCCTCATATCAAAACGTCACGTCATATAAGTAGCCTCGTTTCGTCTTCCAGGAACGGCGTACTAATCACCTCGCTCACCACAATTATTCGGTCTCAAATGCTCAGCTCTTTCCCAACCTGCCTGAGTTCGATTCTTCCGCAAAGATAGGGACAGTACTGGTGGTGGCGGTGTACTAGTAGCCACTAATCGTCAATTGCAATGTTCTCTTTAAGTATGCAAACACCTTTACAAATGTTGTGGGTCCACAGCCACGCAACCACGCCGCACGGACTCATTGGCATCTGTTACCGATCACACAGTTCTGAAAGTTCCTTTGCATCCTATTTCCATGACGTACGTATTACACAAGATAACGCTTGCTAATCGTAATACTCCTATCTAGCTTTTTGGCGACTTCAGTTTTTTCTCCATTAACTGGTCTAAGTTGATTGACTGATATATGGGGTTTAACGTCCCAAAGCCACCACATGATTATGAGAGACGCCGTATAGAAGGGCTCCGGAAATTTCGACCACCTGGGCTTTTTTAACGTGCACCCAAGTCTACGCACACAGGCCTACAGCATTTTCAACTGGTCCAAGTTATCCACCTGCCGAAACACAGATATTAGAGAGTTTTAGTACTGCGGAACGGTGCTACGTACGCATCACGCAAGCGCCTTGCATTACGTGGCGTCGTTTGCCACTAATCGGCTTTTAGTACGCCGTAGTACCCGCGTACGTAACGAGCATGAAGCGTGTTGCGCCATTTGGTAGATCCAAATAGAAGCACGTGTTGTTGACAGCCAATGTGAGCCAATCCAAGTGTTATAGCCAGATTATGGCCATATTTTAAGCCACAGAGCCGGTCGGTGCTTGCCTTCGATGCCGCCATTTTGCAAAACGAAGTCTCGCGCTGTCGCGAACTTGTTCGAGAGCGGCGCGATCAGCTCATACGTACGCACGCACGCATCTCATGCGTGCGTGCGTAGCGGCTGCGTACGTAACGCGATACGCGCGCGTTGCGGTCTGCGCATGCGCACTACGCAGAACGTGGCGTCCTTACGTACGCAACGCCGCCACGTACGCAGCGTACGCAGTACTAAAGCTCTCTAATGTCTCCAATGAATTCTTACTCACGTACGTAAAGTTTGGTCTATCGTAGCTTGTCACTTATCCTACGGGAACAACTGATCATTCAAGCAACATTCTCGACCTGCTGCTTACGTCACATCCTGATAGCTTTTGTTTTCTTTCTTACGTTAGCGGTCTCAGTGATCACACCGCGATTCACACTACGTTTCTCTGTAACATGAATGGAAATGCGTGAAATCAAAGAAATTACTGACTCTTTACGACAGAGCAAATAATGTCGCTATAAGCAATCACGTAGCATTTTGGGCTATATTGAAATCGAAGATGCCGGACTCGGTCAAAATTTACATTCCAACAATCACTATATGGTAGAAGATTCATTCTCTCTGGTTTATTTCCAGCCAAGAACGTATAGAAAATAAAAAAAATGGCAGTTTCGTTCTACCAGGCATTCAAACTCGTAAGTAGCCTGGAAAGCATAAAGTTACAGCCAAAGAATATATGGCATTATTAGTAAAAACAAAGATAACTGTTTTTACACCACCCTATCATGCTTCGGGACAACCCACACCGCCTTTGGAGAATAATGAAACCGGACGACAAAACTACACATTCTCTTTGTGACAGTTCTGGATCTCCTATAGCTGATTGTGACGTTCCATCTGCTTTCAACTCTACATTTTATTCTGTTTATACTAGCGAAGCTAGTGGCAAACTTTCTGAATATTCACCTTTTTTTTTTTTTTTTCAATCAATCAATGAAGCTTTATTTTCATAAATAGATATATGCAATTACAGGGATTATTTGGACCGATAGCCTAAAGTGGCTAGTGGACGGTCCAATACAATGTGCAACATAAAAAAGTGTACAGGTCAGCTCTGAGGTAACAACATAAAAAAAACAATCATGTGATACAGATAACACAGTAATACATTTTTTCTTGCAGATATGCATACTTATTAGCTTGCAGCTAGTTTCTATACATAGGCACTTATTAAAAAAAATACAATGAAAATCGAATCACACACACATGCTTACATGTCTTGACTCCACAGAAAAAATGATTTACATGCCATGCTGAAATTACGTGCCGTTTTAATCTCTAGGGGGACCGTGTTCCATATTTTTGTTCCACTAAACTGTATCAGTCTTTCTCCGTAAACATTAAAACATTTGGGCAGATTGAAATTACCATTCGAAGCATGTCGCGTATTGCGTTTAGGAATTGAAAAAAGATCAGCAGGCAAAGGTGAATTTCTATTAATTATGTTATTTACTGAAACAGCAATTTTGTAGTCACGCAACATCGGAACTGAGAGAATGCGTTGTGATTGGAAAATATTACTTACTGATTCACCTTGGCTTATGATTTTCAGTGCACGCTTTTGAAGTCGCTCAAGAGTTTTTAGATAACTGTTGTACGTCACACCCCACGATTCCAGACAGTAACCTATGTGACAATGACACAATGAAAAGTAGAGTGTGCGGAGAATACCTTGTGGAAAATATTGGCGAGCTTTTATTAGAGAATAGCAGCCATAGGCTAGCTTTGCGCACACACTTTGTACTTGCTCATGCCAGTGTAAGTGTTTTGCTTTTCTTTCAAAGCTGAAAATTGAGTTCAGCTCAGAGGGAATTATGATACAATCAATCAATTAAATATTCTTCATTATTTGGTATAAATGGCATCAAATACAAAATTTTTAAAATTACTAAGCCTGTCTCTTGTTCTATGCTATCATTCATTTTTCAGCAGCCGCTCGACACAGGTGAAGACTCATTAGACTTGAGAATTCGGAAGGTCATTCGGGTCTTCAAGAAGGGTGATCACTTTTCTGCGGCTAACTAGCACCCCGTCTCGCTCGCTAGTGTTTGTTCTAGGATCATGGGACATGTCATCTTCTCTGATGTTACCGACCTTTCATCATATGTAAGCTTTTTTTCACCCAAACCAGCATGGCTTTCGTAAAGGTCACGAATGAGAGACCCAACTAACATTATTTCTGCATGACACCCGCTTCCAATCAGACGATAACATCGCAGTTTATTCACTGTTTCTAGACTTCGAAAACGTCTTTGACAAGGTGCCCCACTCTCGTCTCCTACTAAAGACCTCGCGTCTAAGCCTTCACCAGCATGTTTTAAACTGGATCAAAGCCTTCCCAAGAAACCGCAAACGATTTCTGCATATTCATAACCTCTCCACCAAACTCTCCCCAGTCCTGTCTGGCGTGTCGCAGGGTACCGTCCTCGGGCCTCTCTTATTCTTGATATACATCAACGACATTCCACTTTGTGTTGAATCTAACATTCGTCTTTTTGCCGATGGTTGTGTCCTTTACCGCTCGATACATGACTCTACCGTTCTTTCTTCCCTACAGCATCCCCTCGCTCTTACTCATTCATTAGTGGTTTAGCACCCAGTCGATGTCACTTGACAAGAATAACACGTTGTTAATTTCTTTCCATCGTCGAGAAAAATACGCGCCGGCTACTTACACTATCAACAACTGTCATATAGCTGCTACGAACTCGATCAAATACCGAGGTGTCCACCTTTTGAGGGACCTATTATGGGGTGACTATACAGATCACATAGCTCACTCCGCTAACCGTGCCCTTATATATAGTTACAAAAGTCGTAACATTTTTAGGGCACCACCTTCCGTTAATCTAGTCGCTTATATCGCCATTATCAGATCTAAATTCGAATATGCATCTGCTTTCTTTGACCCCCCCCCCCCCCCTCAAACTGATCGTAGTAAAATCCTGAAGTCTGTCCAGAACCACCGAGCAGCCAGATTTATTGCTTCAGATCACTCCCATTACTCCTGCATATTCACCCTAAAAATCCAGTTAAAGTTTCGTACCATCGCTCTTGGTCATCGTATTGTACGTCTCTGTATTTTTCACAAACTTTTTCAATCAGCCACACGTGACAACCAGCTCATCCAACCGGTCCATCGAGGTCACTGCACAAGTCATACAAACGCTGTGATTCTGGCACGTGCTCACACCACCTCATTTCAGCAGTCGTTCTTCTTGCGCACCGCCCGAGACTGGAGTGGCCTTCCGGAAGAGACAGCAGTCATCCGCGATTCTGCGCGCTTCAAGAATGCCATCTAAGAAGCAGACTTAGCTGTATCTTAACCATTACTTTTGATGCCACCTTTTTTATGTCACCCACCCCTTAAGTGAAGTTTCATACGGAACCTCTGATGACATAATAAATAAATAGATTTTTTTTTCTGCTCAAAGATCCGAGGTGTCTTGGGCGTGACGCTGTGCTTCTTTGACGATGTCGTTACATTTATGCACATGTCTCTTGATAGCATTCATTACTGCGAACATAAGGTTCGAGAAATAGAACGAACTGCATTTTATAGCGAGAACTTTTGAGGAACATGCAATGAGAACGCTTTAGATGATGACTACAAATACTGATTCGCGCGTGGCCCTCACTATCTCGCTCTATGTTGTGACCTGACATTGTTTGCAGTAGTTGCAGTTAATTGAGGTACAGCTGGGTATCGCGATGAAGTATTTGTTTTGTTCCTTGTGTACTTATAGACCATTTTACTTTAGATATATAGGCGCCACCGCCTTGAGCTATTAAACGAATTCGTCATTATTTTTGTGTCTCATGACGTGAATTCGTGAGACACAGGATGGACCTCAAACAGCTAACTTTTGTGAATTGGTACGGTCAGGAAACATCGAATGCACCAACCCAGCAGTTTTCTATTGTAGGGAAAATCGCGGGGATCGGGACACTGTTTACGACTGAGTTTTTTCATTTTGTTGAATTTGAACGCAGTACGATGCTTGAGTCATGATATTACAAGTGTGATAAGGCTGCGAAGCTTCATGACACTCACTGGTTCCTACGATTCCTGGTGAAATTCTAAAAGGAATAGTTTGCGTTAGCTCAATTTTGTCCCAATCACTTTGGGTGGACATGGCTTGGGAGGAGGGAAACACATTTACCACAACGGCTCAACTGTCTTCGACGACAATTATAGGCAGATAATTTCAACATCAAACATTCAACAGAGTTGCACAAACTTTGCTGTACTAATTGTTTTGGAAACAGGCAGTTTCACCAGAATTTCCGTAATAGGTAAAGCTCTCGTATACTTTTTAGAAACAGAGTAGAAATAAGAGCTCTATTCTTTGTTCCGGAGGGACTGCGTACTAAAGCAAAGACGTTAATGCTGCTTGCGACTTAAACCATGTAATGCACGCCAATTTTTTCTATTAAAGGTGACTAGAAAAACATGGCTTTTGTCACTTGAATATATTCTATAGGCCAATTGAATTCGCAAATGTCATGCCAGTCAATATCAAAACCTCACATGTCATTCTCATATTCGTCAAAGGCAATGCGTGTTTTTCACTTGAAGAACAGCAATCCTTCAGCAAACGCTATTTTTGTGTTGGATGGGCTGTGGTGGAAGTCTTGGCTGAACTGCGCTTTCTTTTCTAGAACTGTCGTTCTAACCTCTTTGGTTTCTTCATTCGTATGCTTTCCCAACGTACATGTGAGGACTTTTGTCTTAACTTTTTTTTTTCGTGCTGTGTAACGCGCGGTGGGGCAGTAGGCTGGGATGTAATGGGGCAGTGTGCCGTTCCTCCATCCACTCAGCTGTCCCATTCATAACAAACTATGCTTCTCAGGTTAAAAAAACATAAAAAACTAAGTTCAGTGGGTAGTTCAGTGGTGATGCATAAACCTGAAGTTTTTTTTTTTTAAAGTACAGCGCTTGTGTATGTTTTCAAAGGAAAATTTATATCAGTCCAGAAGGTCTCCTATACCTGAGACAGTTACAGTTTAGATAGCAAAAACTTACTTTGGGAACGCGAGAAACGCGATTTGCAGTTACAGAAACATCCATCCACCGAAGAAGCCAGCCATTACAGCCACGAAATTGGTATGTTAGCCGCATCTAAGGAGTAGTTGGCAAACGTTTTTTTTTTGATAACTGCAGGAGAGATACACGTACTGTCCCATTTTTCCGATGGTCCGAAACCTCCTATCTCTAGACCGCTGTGGTAGCTCAGTGGTTAGAGCATCGAACGCGTTATTCGAAACCTCCTATCTCCCTTGTAGCTACATCTCAGAACTGTTCTTTTTGTTGTTCAATACAAAAAACGAAAAAGGTAACAGCTTGATTTGGCGGTTCAATAACCCATTCTTAAATTATTCTTTACGTTACTGATGGTAAAACTGGATGTAATACTAAAGCACTTCTCTAGAATTTACCACTAAGAAGCAGCCACCGAGTGTATGTGCATCAGTATCATCAGGATAAATGCAACCATCGCCATTTTAATCAACCTGACTACGCCCACTACAGGGCAAAGGCCCTTTCATGTTCCGCCCACAAAACCACTCCTGTGCTGGCTGCATGCGGACACGTCATACCCACACTCTTCTTTATCTCATCTGCCCACATAACTTTTGTCTCCTCCTCGCACGTGTGCCTATCTGGTCTGTTTCTCTTATTGACCCCCGAGTTAATGCGTATAGTTGCTGCCGCCTTTTGCTCCTTCATCCGAATGTGAAGTGTTTCGTCATGCAGGTACATGAAAGACAGCAAATTGAGCGAGCTCAAGGGCAAGGACAGCGACGGGAGTAGCGCCAGTCTCCGGGGAGCGCAGTCCGATGTCAGTATGATGCCGTCCGGATCACCAGCACCGGGAGTGATGCGCTCCATGTCCGCGTCGGCGTTTCCGCAATATAGGCAGCAGGGTGACTTCGGCGGCGGCAGGCGCAGTCCCCGGCGCAGGCGCAGCTCCGGTATGGGCCGCTACGGTGACGACGAGGCCGGCTTCTACAGCAAAACGATGCTGGCGAGCCAGACGGACCAGGGCCCCATCGGCTGGGGACAGCCGGGCATGTCGTACTCGCCAAACCCGATATTCCAGCAGCCCATGCGCCAAGGCCACTACGTCGTGAACACGCGCGTGGCCTCGCCCCAGATGGGCGCTGGCTATCCGGGAATGTACGGAGGCATGGTGAGCCCTGCGGGGCCCGGATACATGTCGCCCATGGCTGGTCCCGGTTGCATGTACTCCATGCAGCCCGGCATGATGGGCATGCCGCCTCAAAGACGGCCCTCGCGTGGCAACCTGAACGTTAACTTGGTGACGCCCATGAGCGAAATATCGGTGTCAAGCAGCTCGTCTGCGGGGTCGTACATTGGCTGAAACATTTGATCCTTACGCCCTGCAGGCAAATGTTCGTGCGTGTAAAAAAAGCGTACTGCGAACGCCATTTGGAACAGAAAGGGGCGTGACCGCGCCGTTACAAGAACTCAGGCCACGCTGTGCTTGGTCAGACAACGTGTGGCTGTGATGGCGGTGTGAAATTAGTTGACGTACGTGTTGCGTGAACAACGCTAATGAAATTTGTGAACGAAGAATTTTGTGTGTCTAGCACAACGTCTTTGGGCTGACAATTTCATTGTTTTTCCCTGAATTTTGTCTTAACCAGGCACTTTGGGAAAATGCCCATAGTCTTTATTGAATTCACGTTCTCACGATGGCTGTGGCGTTTGGATATTTGCAAATTGAGAATACCTTCAAAATGAAGTGATTGTGGTAGCTACAGAATCGTCTGGTACAACATAGCAAAGCGTGGCTCTGTGTCACGACCATCAGTGTTAGAGCAGCAGCGTTTCATCAGTGTTTAGCCAGTGTTATTTTGTTAATCAAAGTCAATTTCCACATAGCGCGCCTTTCGATATCGACACAAACTTGACGCCAGGCTACAGTACTGATTCCGGTGGCATCACAGAATAGCCTAGCTAGTTGTCATTACGTTACTTCCAGAACTTCTAAAATGACCACTTGTGCGTCACGAAAATATTCAAAATGATCACTTGCGCGTCACAAACGGAGCTACGGGGTGGCGTGTTTGTGGAAACGTCGCTACATATGGTGCGAACACGTGACGAGGAGCTCTTACCGGTATATGACGTCGGAATACCGTAGAAACTGAAACAATTTTTTAAAAGCGTACTGTGAATACTATTTGTGATAAAGAAAGGAAAAAAATTCGTGTCAATAGTCTTCAAAGAGTTATTACATATTAACGTCAGGCCACAATGAATGCACAGGTGGTAGGGCACAGGTGACAGACACACCCAACTTACGTCGGCGCGTAATTCCTGTCAATTTCATTTAATGTTGTTACGCACTACTGTTTCAAATAATTGTTGGGGATGCAAGCTATTATTGACCAGCTGCTTCACGAACAAGGTCGTATAATCGGATATTTGTGCTCAATTCATATTTATTACGTTAAATACGTTGACAGCTAGGACAGTAACTCAGCGTGAGGGGACTGCAGCACTTCAATTTTAGAGTAAAGAATAAAATCACTGCTTTATCCGTACACTCCAAAAGCGTTAGAACGAGAATAGAACCGATGCAACAATGACTTTGACGAATGAACGTCTGCTTATATACTGTCGATGTGTCGTTATTATAGATCGCATTTTTCTAACGTGTCTTACTTGGATCGTATGGCACCTGTTCTTGACAACAGCTTCGAGCAAAAGGAATAATACTTGTGTAGGTGATGTGAAAAGGCATCTGCCCTGTTGTGTTTTCAGAAAGCGACTATACTTTCGTTCCAAGTGACAAACCTAGCATGCGAATGCAGTCGGTTCCGTTCTTCGTTCTAGGATTCACCGTCTTATATCAGCTGTTGGGTAAGTCTCAGCGTTCGTGCTGAAGGCCACACAAAGGGCACGACAAAGGAGAGCGCCATGTCCCTGGGCTATTTTTTTTACCTCGAGCACGCACTTCATATCAAGTGTGATCGGGAATGCGCAAGTGTAATTTAACATATATATTGTGCAGTTCTAGCCATTCTAATATTTGGAGGAGGAATAAGCATTATTGATTCCAAATGGGAGTGGCAGAGAGGTAGCCAGGGTGTCAATCCGGCACCCATCATGCCTAGTTCCCCGAAATCTAGTATTATTGATTGAGCCCGGCACGCACGTCACGGCACACCGTGGCAGGTGCGGTAACTATGGAGTCCACGGTGCTCAAAACATCTCCAAACATGAAGCATACTGCGCCGTAATGCCTGGCTCACATGTTGTCGGGAGCATCGATCGACTATCGATCGAATGAAACCTGACTTGTTGGTATGGACAGCCAGTTTACGAAAACGTGGCGATGTAAAAATTGAATAATAGGAACGACGACCTCTTGATTTGGATGTGGGTTAGCTGCCCCGTAAAAGAATTAATTTCTTGGGCGCATTTAACATCTTGATGAACTAACGCAAATGGTTGTGCTCATGCATCGACGACTCTTTCGTATGACGTGTTCTACAGTGATTAACATTATGATCATCAGCCTGACTACGCCTACTGCAGGACACAGGCCTTTCCCATGTTCTGCCAGTCAACTCGGTTCTGTACTTGCTGCTGCCACGTTATACCTACAAACTTCCTAATCTCATCTGCCCATCTAACTTTCTGTTCCTCCCTCACCCACTTGCCTTCTCTTGGAATCCAGTGGGTGGTCCTTAATGACCAGCGGTTATCTTGCCTTCGGGCTACGTTCCCTGTCCATGACCATTTCTTCATCTTGATTTTGACTAGGATGTCCTTAGCACCCGTTTGTTTCTTGATACACTCTGATCTCTTATCCCTTAGGGTTACACCTATCATTTTCCTTTTCATTGCTAGCTGTGTCGTCCTCGATTTAAGCTGAACTCTCTTTGTAATCGTGCAAGATTCTGCTCCAACGGGAAGCACCAGTAAGATGCAGCTGGTATACTCCTTCCTCCTGACGGATAGTGGCAATCTACCAGCCATGATTTGAGAGAGATTGCCGAATGTGATCCATTCTTATTCTTCTAGTAACTTCAATCTCATGGTTCGACTCCACGGCTACTACCTGTCCTAAGTGGACGTACGCCCTTACAACTTCAAGTGCACTGCCACATATCTCAAAACACTGTTTTCTTCCGAGGTTTATGTACATTACTTTAATTTTCTACAGATTAATTTTATGACCTACCTTTCTGCTCTTCTTCTCTAATTCAGCAATCATGAATTGCAATTCGTCCTCTGAGTTTGTTAGCAATGCAATATCATCGGCCAATCGCGGGTTACTAAGGTACTTCCATTAACACGTATCCCTAACTCTTCTCATTCTAGGCCTCTGCAAACCTCCTCCTGTAAGCGCGCAGTAAATAGCATTTTGGAGATTGTACCCTCTTGTCTTACACCCTTCTCTGTTGCTATTTTTTCGATTTATTTATGGAGCACTATGATGGCAGTCAATGTGGTGTAGATTTCTTCTAAGATATTTATATATGCGTTGTAGACGTCTTCATTCCGCAGTGTTTGCATTACTGCTGATATCTCTAATGAATAAAATGCGTTCTCGTAATCTATGAAGGCCATTGATAGTGGTTGGGGGTATTCTACAGTGATAATGCAGTTCAAAAGATATCGACATATTCAATAACACGCAAGGGATGAGAAGCCTTTGGAATTGCTATTGTTGGAAAGTCTGGTAGATAATCAAGCATACTACTCACAACATTTCGTCTATATATCGCTGCTACAGTCTGTCACGATCGCTCAGCCTCAACTGACCAACGCTCATGTTCTGCAAGTTGTAGATTCAATAAATAAATGAACAATTATTAATTCAAAAATATTCAATCTCACTAAAGAATTAATTGTTTTCAAATCATTGTTTCTTTGTCTGAAACAGTTATGCATGCAGGCTTTCCGTATTATTCGTTTGTAGGTTTAATTACTCCATTGCTATTTGAATTGTAGACGGTGTGGCCGGAGAACAGTGCCCGAAGAAAATCTGGAGACGGCTTGTAAGTACGCGCATTTCAGGCATTCGTCCATACTAGTCACGTGTTGAAGATAGTTAGCTGGATCCACAAAAGTTTGTTCCTTGTCTCACGTACGCATGCACGTACATACAACGTAGAGGGGTGAATCAATTGATGACAGCTGCTCTTCAAACAAGCAGAGCTATTGGAGACCCACTCAGTGTTCTTAAAGAGGCACTAAAGAGCGAAACGATTTTTTGCGTATTGGTAACGTGCAATTTCACCATCTCGAAAAGGCCCCTCTTACCATGACACGTCACTTAGTAAACAAGAAAATGCGCGGAAAGAAAATGCGGGTGGCGACACCACCTTTAGATTCCCACACCAAACGCAGTGATGTCAGAAATATTGAAGGAGTTTAATGGGTCCTTCATAGCTTCCAACCGATAGAAATGAAGTGCGTTGTATTTTGTGGGTGTCATAGACTTAACATACGAAGTTTCAGAAAGTTTTATCGAGTGGATGCCACAAAAATACATAACGTATTTTTTGAAATGTTCTACGTCATGAGTGAAAATTTTGGCGCAAAATTTAAAAATAAAACTTTAAACTTCATTCATTTCGCTACTAATGAACTTGCAGTAGGGAAATATATGGCATTAGAGTTCTCAGAGTGCAGTCTGTCTATTTAAAGCAATTCATTGTTCCTCTTTTGCGTCCCTTTCATAAAAGCTAACCCCGTGCCTGGCATGAAAAAAAAAGGAGTGTAAATCATGAAAAAGAAAAATAAGAGCTTGTGGCAGTAATGAGTTAGGTTTCGATCTAGGTTTTTATCTAATACAAAAAATAATACAAAAACTTCATAATAGGCAGATTTCAGTGAGGATAAAAATTTCGTTCTAAAATTTGTAACACTTTCGTTTTATATCTTCCTTTACTATAAAATTGAATAATATTTTGTAAGACCGCTCAATTACTGGCCCATCCCTCACAGTGGGTATTAGCCACAAGAGAAGGTCTACAAGAACAAGGGGAAAAATGTAGTGACTGGAGCACCAACCGAGCACAAAGCAACAACATTGCTTGCGAACACTCGATAGTTTGGTTCCTGCAAGCAACCGAATTGAAAGACAAAAGCAAACCGACTGAAACTAACAGTCACATGTATAATATGCTACTTTACGGAACATTTATTGTTTTTTCATGGGGCTCCCGTAGTAATTGTTTGTGCACCGCACTTTTATCGTTCACCAGATTCTCGACAAAGGTGACATCCGGTGCGTCTTGCAAAAACAAATCCATCATGACTTGCCGCATATTTAAGTTCGTTTGCGAGTGCTCTTTTACATGCACATGTGTTATTTATAGAACCAAATCCATACCAGCA